TACATAAATTGCAGACTCATAATTCACTTGCTTAATGCTTAATTCAAGAAGGGTTACTAAAACATTAGGGTTCTAATTGGGTAAAAAGGTTGAAATCACTAAGACATTATGGTTCAACTAATTTATAGGAAAATAATGAATTGTCTGAACAAATGAATTAATTATTTATAAAATACAATATAGGAATATAAGGGAGGATCAGAGGTGAAGAGTATCCTGGCTACAATTTTCTTACGAATTTTTCATCAATATTCTCTTCGCGTTCTTGATCTTTTCTTGCATGCGTTCAAATTCCACTGTTGTTTAAATTCTGTTTTGGATTTTCCAACTCAATTATTTCACAACACAAACAATTTTTCTGTTCCAAATTAAAGGGAATAGTTAAACTACTACTTGATGCCTCAATCCTCGTGGGAACGATACTTTTCTTATCACTTTATTACTTGGAACGATCGGTATACTTGCCGAGTTCGCAACACCTTTCCCCAACCTTGGCCACCACTTTGAAATAGAAAGCTTTAAAGTCCTTGAAGGAGTCGCTATACACGGAGAACAACTTCCTAGAAGGGTTACTGGCGCGGCCTTGAATGCTAGTCCAGCCCTTGATCTCGGGAGGCTCCAAACCAGTACGAGAGGTGTAGATGTTGAAAAAATAGAAGAAAAGAGGAACTGTGCATGACAGAGACAAGGATGCACATAACTGCTCGAAGGCGATGATATAAGCCCAACCATTGGGGTGAATCTGGGTTGGTGCAAGGAGAAGGTGATTCAAGAGTTGTATCTTGAAGGGAGAAAAGGGAAACCGAATTCTGATCTTCGTCACTAGATCACGGTAAAAGAAGAAAAAATGTGGTTCCTCAGGGTTCCGCCCTGAGCAAACAGGTCCATCATCTATAGGAGTGAACGTGTTAAAGCCAATCGGGTTGCCAATTGGAAGCCCAGATACCTTTTCGGTAGACATGTCGGACCTAAAGCTTAAAACCTCTTCTGTAACCCACGGGTATTGCTTTCGAAGATCATTACTAACAGGGGCAGAACCTTTCTCGGTTGGGCTCACCTCGGTCTCTTGGCCCTGGCTGGAAGAGGCAATCTCCACATTTAACTCTGCAGAAGGGGACTCCATAAATACCTAGAACAGCAAAATGGGAGGATTAAACAGCAAGAAAAGTACAAAGCAAAGAGGATACGTACCCGAACTAAACAAACTATTATTAGAAGAACTTGAGGAATCATCGGATTCGACAACTGAAGCCGGGATAGATGAACAAGGATAATGGGAACAACTGCCTAACACTAAGTCAGCCATAAAATCGTTCCACTTCTCAACAAATTGAGCACTAAGGTAAACACAATTGAAGCAAGGTTCTGGACACCTAGTATTCGGATGAACATGTATTCTCTGGTGAGAAGTAGGAAGAGGAGCAGGGTTATAAGTTGAAGCGGGGGTCGAATGTGAAGAAAGAGAATTTGGCACCAAATCATGAATAAGACGTCTGGGTGGAATCCCTAAGCTACGACGGAGACCCCGGCTTCGTCCCCGGGTTGGGGGGCAAGAGGAAGGCGCTCTTCTACCTCGGAGACCTCTGCTTCGTCCTCGGATTGGGGGGGCGAGATAAAGATGCCCCTCTATTTCCATCACCTCGATAACCTCCTAGTAAGGTGATAAACCCCTAGTTCATCAGGTTTTTAAGCATGAATTAATATCAATTTGTGTGATTAAATGGATGGAAAAGAGGTTAATGTCCTGGAAATCTCTCAAGTACAAGTTCTGAAAGCTTTGTGGAAAATTTACATTGTCTTGTAGGGAAATGAAGCTCAAGGAGCAGCAGAGAGAAAGAAGAAGATTCTGAAGAAAGGGAGAATGCTCAAGTGTTGAGCGCTAAAACGTCCACACAGAACGTTTTAGCGCGCTGCTGCAAACTGAAGTCAAAAGTTGATTGTGCCGAGCGCTAAAACGTCCAACACTGACGTTTTAGCGCGCTGCTGTTGGAAAAGTTTCTGGTCTTGGGCGCTAAAATCTCCTGATCAAACGTTTTAGCGCTCTGATGTGGGAAAAGACTCTGGTCTTGAACGCTAAAATGTCCAAGTCAAACGTTTTAGCGTTGGAATCAGTTAAAAGCAGTTGGGCATCCGTCAAACATGGACGCTAAAACGCCCATCAATGAACGTTTTAGTGCCCATGGCAGTTTTCAGTTGTATTTTGTAACTCTATAAAAAGAAAGGGCCTTCACATTCTGACATATCTCATATCCCATCTATCCTATCCTATCTCAGATCCTCTGATCTGACACTTTATTTTCTCTGACTTTCCAAATTCTTTAGGACTTAGTTCTTGTATTAGTTAGTTCATTCTTTGTAATTGTACTTGGAGATCGAAGACTCAACTATCATGACAATGGAGTTTGATCTTTCTTCTTCTCTTATTTATTCTTTAATTATGTCTGAGTAGAGTCCTTTGTAGTCTGATTCAATGGAACTCAAGTGTGAATTTATGAATGGTTAATTAGATATTTTGTTTATCTCTTATGTGATTGTATGAAGTTGTCTTGATTAATTCCTTCTATTAAGGGAATAGTGTAGAACATACATGTTTACATTGTTTCTGTATCTGACAACTTCATCATCAGTGTTCTAGTAGTCAAGATATTGATGCTAGGATTCTGATGTGATCTTAAGACCTTAGTAATTAATGCATGTATTAGGAAGGGAATCACCAATGGATTGGGGTTTCTGAGTAATGTATCAATCAGGGTAGTAAGACATTACATCTTGATGACAAGAAAAAGGTTAATCAACATCACATAGTAGATAATTCATTATGGAAATTGGTTCATTCATAAATTCATGCTTGAGAGAAATTGACATCTGACTACTTGTTTAAATTATAATCACATTTTATTTGTTTATCAAGTTTTCATGCAATTCAACTAAATTTCTGGTGACAAGAAATCAATGCAATTAATAACTTTTGGTTGATTCAACTTAAGTATATATGGTTAGTCAGTGCTTGAACACAAATTCTCGTGGGAACGATCTTTACTCATCATTTTATTACTTGTGTGACTAGTACACTTGCTAATTCCACAACATAAGGCGGCTTGGATCTCCTCCTCGGTTTGAGGTCTGCCAAACAACCAGAACCTTGGACCAGGAGGTAGGCTTCGGATAAACCTTTCTTCTTCTGTATGCCTTTCTTCCTCCTCGACACCAATTTCATCACTCCGACCAAAAATGCGAGGGAAAGTGGGTCTCCCTCAAATGGTTAAGTTTCTCTCACCCATATAGGAGAAAACTTTCAAACTAAGTTATGTTTGAGGATAAACAAGCAACAAGGAAGCTTCATATAAGAAATGCAATACGAATAAAAGAAATATTATTAAGCAGATAAGAATAATGTGGTATATTGGAAATACAAGGATGACAGAATCGAACTTCTCGCAAAGTAGCACATGCAACTAAATGCAATAGTATACAGAGAGAATATCAAAGCAAGGAGTAGCATTACAGGCAAAGAAGCAGATGAAATGATAAAGATAATGCCAGTAAACGTACCTGAAGGAATGAAGCCTGGAAAAAGCGTGCGTGAAGATGGGAGTGAGATGGAAGTTCTTATAGAAATGAAAAGTGAAAGAATGAAGAAGGGGAGGCTGAAGTTAGTGAAATTAAAGTTGAAAGATCAAGAGCCGCAAAACCAAAGGGCAATGGTAGGAAAGTAATTTGATGGTGGACAAGACAATTGAAGGACATTTTTGCAGAGGGAGTTAATGCAAAACGACGTGGCAAGGATAGTGTCACACGTCGCGCCTGTTGAAGAAGGCCACGTGGAAAATAATCATTACGTGGGAGGAGGATCGTTTCTCAGGTAGGAGGATCCTTTCTCAAGGGAGATGAACTGCTTCGTGAAAGAAGCTGTACCACACTTCGAGTAGGGCATCTCAGATGGGTTGTATTCGAGATGACCTGAGGAACCTTGTCAAACTGGTAGAAGTCGAAGTTCGAATCAAAGCCAAAGCAAGAGCAATGACCAAGTCGAGATAGACCCATATCCGAGGTGAATCGAATGCATTGAGCATCTTAACTCGGATATCCCGGCATCCTGAATACTCAGTCTACCGGGCTGGGGGGCAATTGCTATGGACTTGAATGAGGCCCACATCTAGGTGAAGCCTATATAATACAAGCCCAAAGGTAAGCACTATAAATATGAGCTAAAGACCACAGGTATGACTGATCTTTCTCTAACCCTATTTTACGCAATCACACATCACACACACCCCCCTTTAACTAAGGCCGTCATATAGTGTGTAGTGATTCGCTATCCCCAAGATACCTAATTCATAGGTATCTAGAGAAAGCACTAGATCCAACATCAATCATCTAACCTACGGTTAGACATCTTTGCCTGAGGCAGAAGAGATAGTGATCTCCTTTTACCTCCCAACATGTGTCTTATATTTTGGTAGGTTGCATTATAAACTTTTTTTTTATCTCAAACATAGTTTGTTTGTCATTTAACAAACCAACATTCTGTTCCTGTGTCTTATTTTAACTGATCTTACTAAAGCTACACTTTTAGTGTGTTTTAGACGAATTCAGGCCCCTTTAACCTTAAGTTTTGATTACATTAATCGATCAACCTCTTTCCATTTTTGAGATTTTACTAGATGAATACGAAAGACATATAAATATTAAAGGTGTAAGCAGTGAGCCGTCAAGGTTTACATAATGATAATAGGAAGAAGAACCTTCTACATACCACATAATCGAAATGAACATAAGATACATCTTTAATTCCACATACGAGGGAAAAGGAAAAAACATAGGTTGCATAACATAGCACGTGTACACATGGAGCAGTCCACAATTATTACAAAATTATAGTGACAACTTATAATCCGTAGGGAAAATAATAAAATAGAATCCGCTTGGATCCTAAGTGCTGAAAACTGATACAGAACACGTGCTGCTTAACACTAAAATACCCTGATGAGTAACATATTCTATGGCATTGTGTGACCTCTGAGATAACGCCAAGGTCCTGTTCCTGTTCCCATCCTGCATATGCATTCATGATACATATAAACTAACTTCAGAATATAAAATTTATAAAATAAATCACTGGGACTATAAAACTATGGGATAGGATATTGTGACACCCAAATTATGTTACACCAATGTGACACCCAGTCAATCTCACCGTTAGATCGCTTATGTTGATCCAACGGTTATATTTATTTACATCTTTGTATGGTCATGATTTCCAAATTTAAAGTGAAAGCATTAAATATGGAAAATCATAACCATACGAAGGTAGAAATAAATATAAAATATTAAATTTGGAAAATCATGACCATACAAAGATGGAAATAAATATAACCGTTGGATCAACATAAGCGATCTAACGATGAGATTGATTGGGTGTCACATGAGTGTAACATAACTTGGGTGTCACAATATCCTATCCCTAAAACTATTAAATTACATCATTTATAAGAAAACTTATTATATTGGCCTAAATTGTTTTATTTATTTATTTATTAAAATACTAAACAAAGGTGCTTGAGGGTTTTATTTATTACACATTTTTCTTTTTATTATATTGGCCTTGGCTTGAGACTTTCATGTTCATTTTTAAGAGAGTGAAAAAATCAAATAAATTGACCCAAACCGCAAACCAAATTGAACCGCAACACATTTTTCTTAATTGGTTTAAGAATTGAATCATTTTCTCCAAACCAGTTCTAGAATCGAACCACTTTTTAGAACCGGTTCAATTTGCCCGAACTAAACCACTTTTCTAATTTGATACAATAGTTGCAAGCTTTTGGAAAGGGGAAGTTTACCTCCACACACCAGCCAACATGCGAAGAACCATGTAGATGGATAATGCAATCCAGATCCCAATGAATTGTTTTTTCTTGTAGAGAAAGTATTCTGTAGCAATACTTACTATTGACACCATAACCTGAATAAGGAGAGTAGCCAATAATTATAAAATAAATTTTGATAAAGATGACATATTATTAAAAGAAAAGAAAAATGGCACGTTAACTTACCAAGGAGTATGCAGAATATGCAAAATCAGAAGCACCATAGTTCACACCATCAAAGACGAAGGCTAATGAATTGAGTGGTTGAGTAGCAGCAACAAACTGGAAAGTTAAATGAAATTAGATATCAATCGATCACACACATAACATTATGGTTTTCATTGTTGTTTAGGGATATACCGGGACACCTATTTGGATCAAATGCAGAACATCAATGTTTTTGGAGAATATTCCAGCTCCAAAGTACAATCCAACTCCAACAGCAAGAGAGAGTCCCACTCCTAAAACAAAACTCATCTGCAATGTCCTTGTTGCAGCAGCTGTTGTCTTGTTATAGTCTTTCTCAGTGAAGGAACAAGCTAGAATAGCCTGTGAACCAAGGAAACTAACTCATTAGTATCATTTATTTGATTTTGTTACGGACCAGGCCTTAGGCCTAACTTACACCATACTTTATTTATTGATATAACTTACCAAGCATTAAATACAAAGCATCTTATCTCCTAAAATGATGATTCTAACTTAATACATGGCACGGCAAGTGCATAAACTACATTTATATAAGACACCTTACATGTTTGACATAAGGGCCCACATTTTAGAAGTTTAAGAAGGGCTAACTGTGAAGAGAGAATTAAGGAAAGATTCCTTAATTATATTAATCCTCGTGCGATAGCAATAGATCAAGAAACTGGACTCTCAGTGTTACTAAGAGGTCCAAAAATCCACACCTTAATTATATTAATCCTAGAGCAAGGTAATTCATTTATAAATAAAGGATTAAACCAATTAGGTACACACACTCTAAACCTTCTCTCTCTTAGTGCACATCCTCATGCTTTGGCTATGCCGTCTACTATAATGCACAGTGATCTGCTAATTTCTAAAGTATCTTTCCCATAAATGTCTGAGAGAGAGTACACATATCCAATATAAACATACCAACCACCGGCTGAACATATCTATCACCAGTACAGAACAAGATGAATATTTTATACAAAAATCACACACTTCAAAAGGCTACCCCCAATTCCCTCCCCCACGAATTAACACTGATATTTATCTCATATGAAGCTACTGATTCTCCGTACAAGGATCCTTAAACTGGTACATAAATCAACGGCCAACCCCTTTTATTAGTTGTACATTTGTACATACTAATTCACCTAAGAAGAAATTTTTATTGCACAATACAGAGTTTGAGAAACTAAATGTGTATGTTAAATCATTCCCAGTTATATATACAAATATTTCTATACCTGGACAGCAACAGCCAAACCATCAGCAAGAAGGGACGATGCTAACCAAATCTGTAGCAAGGGTTGAAATGCAGCCATAGGAATAGAACCAAGCCTTGCTGCCAATGATGCTGCGAAGGTCATACAGAATGTCACTGCTACTACCCTTGCCAGCAACAGACCTCCTGTGTAGTTCACCATGATATTGAATATAAAATCCACACATACACGTACAAAAAAAAAATAAAAAAATCCACACATAAGTAATGCGAAATTTATTATCATGATTTACTAATGTTCTATATCGAAAATTAAATTGGAAATATAAGATAAAAAATGAAGTGCACTTTTGAACGGAAAAAAGTAACTGTTCTAGTTTGATGAATGAAAAGGGAAACAGCTGCTGCTCTCTAGTTTGATATGTATGTGATCAAAATATGTTATTATTATGGATTAATTATTTATTATGTAACTTGACCATCCTGTTATCCAAAATTACGCTATTTTGGATATTTATTTTTCTTATTTACTTGATCGAAAATGAATTTCATATTACTCTCTCTTCTTTTGTCAATTCATCTTTATATTATTATAATTTTTTAACTTGACAAATCCTTACGTCAAGTGACTTGACGTCCAATTAATCCTTTTATTATATATATTTGAACTCATTGTCACTGACTTTTGACCTTTTTGTTGTAATGAAAGAAATTATAACCTTAAATGCTATGTTTAAGCATTAGAGTTGTATATGGGCTAACTCACCCCACTAACCTTAGCTTATCCAAGTCAAGATTATAAAGCCCATAAAACCCAAAACTCACAAATATAAAAGTTCACGGGAGCCCAAAAGTCTACAAAGCTCTGTAAGCAAGGACGGGCCAACAATGGGTCATGCTACTAAAATAGAATTAGCCCCACCTTTACAACTAGAAAGTTACAACTTACAAGGATTTGTAGCCCTTGAAAGAAGGAATATGATATCATGCATATTATTTTTCATTCTAATTATATTTACTTTTCTCAAATATGGTTAGATCATAATTTCAACTTATTGTCATCATTTTTCTCCTCTTGAAATTCTGATCTAATTATATTTTAAAGAAGTAAGTAGAGTAGACATAAAAAAAAGTAAATATAATATCTTATCTCTCGAAAGAAAATGAAAGATATTGTGATTTAGCTTCTTCATATTACTAGAAAAAACTTGTATAAGAACAAAATTTCTATAAAATTTCCATCCTAATTTCATCTCGTAACTATTTTCCGTTACAGATTCCCTCGCAAACGATGTTTGCAAGGAAAATTTTATTAAAATTCTATCACTACACATATTTTTTTTAGTAGTATCAAAGATAGGACCTTGCCTAGAAGTCATGTAGGAAATTCTAGATGAAGAGAGGAATCTAGTTTGATATATATTGGATGAAAATATGTTTTATTACCACTGACTATTGCCTTTTTTTTTTCTTTTTTTAATTATTGCCTTTTTATCTATAATAATAAAGAATCTACAGCCTCAACAGGTAATGGTTAATCACTTACCATTTTTAAGAAACCGGAAAATCTGCAAATCTTTTATGCTTGGAGGTAGCAGATGCACTTTTTTCATTAATATCAACATTAGGGTGAATGCCATCATGTACCTATATATAAAGGATCACCATTTTGTAAGATAAAGTTGTATGAACACGAAAAATGATTAACCAATATTATTATTCCGGTATATAAAGAAGTGAGACTTACTGGGAGAGAACATGTGAAAAGGCTGCACCTCTGAGGCCCAATTTCAATTTAAAAATAAGTATTGGGTCCAATGCGACATTAAATGCATATCCCGTAACTAAATAAAACCAAATAAACCAATAAACTAAGTTAGGGAAAATGTCAATACAAAGTAAAAGAACAATCACCCTCTTAAGCATTTTGGGGCCTATAGTTCATTCGGTCCCCCTCCCTCCCCCCGTTTTTGGTAATGAACATTTGTAAGCTTTTATTTATGAGTTTTATAATTTTCATTCAACATGAGAATTGAAATTTTTCTACACATTCTTCGATTTTCGTGCTGGGTCTTATATATAATTTTTTTTCTAACATATGGATCTCACGTGCTTTTTGTTTCTACAACATAAGATTTCAATTCTCGTTCAACATGAGAATTATAAAACCCTTCATTTATATTTGTTTATGCTTTGACACTTTATCTCTTAAAATATGCTTCATTCTAAACAATAAATAATTTCATCCTACCGATGACATATAAAGGAGTTGTTGTGTCCTTGAATCCTCGAAAGATTCCTTGCATGGCCAAGGAGAGAAGAACTGCTGGAGCACCAAATGATCTCAATCTTAAGTACTTCTCTGCTGGTTGTAGCATAGGAGAATCCTACACAAAGTACAAATAGTTCCATTATAACTAAAGCATATATATACATATATAGACAGATATATACTTTAGCTAATGAAGAAAGATATGTAATAACATATCATAAAACTTACATGTTTCACACCCATTGCAGCTAATAAAGGTTTGGCTCCAAATATAAGGATTGCAGCTTGAAGGAGGCCAAGAATTGTGCCAAAAATTAGTGCGGTTGTTGCTGAAGCAATGTGTCGCTTCTTATTTCCAACTTTGTCCTTGAGCTTAGTACCACTAGTAACTGACGAAGACTTACTTATAGTTATATTTGTATTCGCATATGAACAGTAATTAAGCAATAACATATCATTGAGTTCAAAAGGCAAAAGTATATCAAGAGACAAAATTCTATCTTGCATCTTCAAATGGAGAAAAATAATTTGAATTTTATTTTTAACTTAATTGCAACATGAATTTTTTCAAAATATTTTAATTTTTTTTTTCTCAAACTCTAAAATAACATTATTTGAGGACTGTATGAATATAATAAAAATTTCAATGGATTCATTTTCTACATACATGCCCACGACATATAGGATTGTGCTTATGTGTTTAAGCAAATTCATCAGATTAACATGGGCATGTACACAGAGAGACAGAGATAAGCATAAGAGAGAAAATACCATCTCCATTATTTGTATCATTGTTCCCAGAAGCACATTTTTCCACATCCTCAGGTACATAACTTTTCACTACGAGATCGTTTGTATCACTTCCAGCCATAGATTCTTTTGGAACTTCCATAATCTCTTTGGGTGTACCTTTTTCAATGTCTTGATGCATATAATCCTCATGCATTACTTCGCTTAACTTAGCCTTACATTTTTCGGTCAAATTGTTTTCCACTGCTTCGGTATTCAACCTTTGAATAGTATCTTCCTCAGCGACAAAAGAAGTTGTAATACTGACAAGAGGGAATATGAAAATCCTTGAAGCTTGGTTGAACAAAGCAATGGAAACTCCAGCAGCTGCAAGTTCAACCGGTCCTAAACAAATTAAAAGGAAAAGTTAGCTTCAAATGCTGAAAGAGTGAAAAGTTAGCCTTAGCAAGAGTTGACAAGAAAGAGATAATAGATAAATACCCAAGTGGCCTATAAATGCAGTGTCTATGAGAGAAGCAATAGGATCAGCAGCAACCGCAAGTGCAGAGGGTAATGCAATCCCTAATATCTCCCTAGAAAGCGCATCCAACTTGAAAACAAGTCTGCATTCACATTATTAGAATCAAGTGTCAGTACTTCGTAATATATATTAGGGTCTAAAATTTCTTAGGAGGTAAAATTATCTCTAATTACACATATGAATGTGTGTGACCTAATATTTTTTTTTTTTCATACGGCCTCACACACTTTTTCTATATATATATATATATATATATATATAATTCTGTCTATCTTTATTCTGTTTACTTTTACTTACCTCTTTCAATATTGTTAGATTATAATCTCATCTAATAGTAAAGATTTGCGGAATAAAATAATCATTTTTGTCATTTTCTTTCTTCTCATTGCCTCTGACATCCTTTTTCTCTCCTCACATTTTTCTTTGTCGCACCATATCCACTGTCCTCCCCTTTTTCGTGTGTTCTGTCCACACGAATTGCCAATGGCTGAGTAAAATTACGCATTAGGAACAAAGCAATCTATTTTTTGTTTTCTAATGGAAAAGAAAAATATTTATATATAGTTTGCTAGATTCCATGATGTATATGGTAAAATTCACATATTATAAATACAAGAGCACCAACCGTGTGATAGTATTCCAAAGCACAAACCAATGCACGGTTAAGAAAACCCAATAATGGAGAAGATGAGAGTGATACTAATTGCTCAATACATATCCATAGCTGCAGCAGTTGCAATTCAAGTTGGTGCCGTGAAACTATTACTCCTAAGCGTAACTTACTCCTTCTTGTTGTACAATATGGTGCAAGAGAAAGGGGAGGAGAGAGAAAGAGTGTGGGAGATGGTAACGAGAAAGAAAAGGAAAAATGGCTCATTTTATTTTGCAAATCTCCATCACGAGATGAAATTATAATCTAACAGTATTGAGAGGGATAGACAAAATGTAAGCAGAATAACCTATTCCATATATATATATATATGAGTTTGCTTTTTCTGCAGTTATTGCAGATAAATTATCTGCAGTAAGTCAATACGACATCGTTTTGGGACGGAAATCATAGTATTTTTGTAATTTTAATTTATTTTAGGGTTATAATAGTCTTTATATTTATAATTTTTTAAGATTTCAATACCAAAATGACGTCGTTTGGGAATAAATGAAGATAACTTCTCTGCATTAATTGCGGAAACATTTTTCCCTATATATATGTAGAAAATAATTTTATCTCCTACTACATGTTGTTTCACTATATAAATGGCGATCTTTTGTTATAGGGCAATCATTTTCTCGTATTAGTGGCTCATGGCATCAATGAGTCTCACCTTAAATTTTTTTCTCTCCACTATTTTGTAGACCCCCTTATGCCATGAATTATTAGTAGGAGAATCTGGAAAAAATGTTTTCCTTTTGTTATATCATATATAATTCGGGTCAACATAATGCTTCTTCTCCTACAAGAAATATGGGTGCAATATATATGTATACAATGGTAGAACAGGTATAATATAAAATTATTCATATGATTTTACTTAACAATTTAAGTATTGGAGGTACGTAATTGATATATAATGCGGCATGAGGGCATCTATGGTTTTATTTTTCAGAATTTTATTCTTCTAAATAAAAATTAAATTTTAAGCACAAAATAGGATAACTGTGTTAGATAAGAAATTATTCATGTACTTTCACGCATTATAGTCTGTATATATGATCAACTTAGTGACGGATTCAGGAAATTTTTTTTATGTCTGCACACTCAGGGCGGGGGTTCGGGGGTGCCGCCCCCGATTTTTTTTAAAGATCATAATCATGATTCAATTTTTACTTCCACTTCAAAAATAAAGCTTTGGTGATCAACCTTAAAGAAATAATCGATAATGATAATTATAAAATAAATAAGGGTTCGCTTACTGCAGATAAGTTATCTGCAGTAAGCCAATACGACGTCGTTTTGGGACGGAAATCATGGTGTTTTTGTAATTTTAATTTATTTTAGGGTTATAATAGTCTTTATATTTATAATTTTTTAAGATTTCAATACCAAAACGACGTCGTTTTGGGAATTAATGCAGATAACTTCTCTGCATTAACTGCGGAAACATTTTTCCCAATAAATAAACACCACAAAAAATATTTGTAAAATATAGTATAATTGTAGGGGTTAATTGATAAAAAACTCACCTTTGTCGATGTCTATTTGATCCAAAGTTGACCAGTTTTGTTTCATAAAAAACATGAAAAATTCCGTGTGATTCTCCTCCACTCTTTACCTTTTTCCTTTTAATCTTCCTATTTAATTTTTGTTTTTTTTTTTTTTACTTGACTTGAATCACACACCTATGTAAATTTTTTTTCCTCGTCAACTTTATGTATGCAAGTGTAGACAATGGAACCAACCTAGGTCCGCCATTGAATCAACTCATCATATCCATTTTTCTAATAAAAAATTTAAAAATCTAAAATAAAGTAGATAATAAACCGGTAGATTGTCCCCGTCGTTTCAAGCTTAAAAAACTTAGAAAATATGTTAAAAAATGTTATATAAAACCAATTCATATATTTTGACCTTATAGTTCAAGCTAGGCCTTTGACATAATTGTTTCATAATATACATAATGGAGAAATCTTTTCTTTATGTTGCTGGAAAATACCTTGCATCTTTGAAGAAAACGAAGAGAGGCATTTTCCACTTGTTGTTGGGTGTGTTGGAACTGCCAATATCGTCCATGATATTGTTGATTCAATCAAAAGAAGAGAATGGCGCTTGGGAAAGATAATTCAAGATAAGACCAATACTCAACAATCTGCAAAGTTTGAGTTTGAGATCTCAGTGTTGTTTACAATCAAAACAAAGAAGCAATTTTACGATATCACATGCTGGAAAATAAAGGTTGACAACTAGAATAAACATCAGAAACACAATAATGTGCTACCTTTTAATTGGCGTTTAAATTATCAGAATGGAAGTGGTGTATTTATAAGGAGTCAATGCTAGTAGCATAACAATTGCATTTTGTCTTGTTTATTGTTGAAAACTTCCTCAGTTATATACTTATGTACATGTCTACCTATAGATATCTCATTTTTTTCATATAAAGTAATGCATTCATGAGATGCATGCTGCGACAAATGGCATGCAAAGGCCCTTTTGCATATATATACTGACTTGTGAATAATACAATCGTGTAATAATTGACATTACTGCGTCATAAACGATAACATTATATTATAAAGGAAACTGTAGCATGTCAGTCATCAAATGGAAGAGAATACTAAATGCGAATTTCTATAACGACCTCGTGACATCAGACAATATTAGTCAACAAATGCATGTGAACGTAGCAAAATATTTCCATTATTTTTAAATAATTATTGCTTGAAGTTTTAAGTATTTTTTAAATTAAAATAAACATTTATGTCTGCCAAAATTACTCTTTTAATCTAAAACTGTTCTTTCGTTTTATTTATTAAAAATATCAAACGAATAAATTTGAAAAAATTAATGTTATATTACTTTTTAAAGTTACAAATAATTTAAAATATTTTTGAAAGTGAAAATTATTTTAAAACAGATGAAATAATCATTTATGTCTAGACTTTGAAAAAATGAACAAATATATATGATAAAAATAACAAAATTATTCTTTATTAAATATTTTGATCTTATAGTTATTCTTAATATTATCAAAGGTGATAAAATAAATAGCATGATCAAAACTAACTTTAACTAAGAAAGAAAATACTTATCAACCAACAAAACAAAGAAAAAGAAAGAAATACTTGAATTTGTTGTAAAACACTTATATTTTAAGGGATAGGATATTGTGACATCCAAGTTATGTTACACCCATGTGACACCCAGTCAATCTCACCGTTAGATCGCTTATGTTGATCCAACGGTTATATTTATTTTCATCTTTGTATGGTCATGATTTCCCAAATTTAAAGTGAAAGCATTAAATATGAGAAATCATAACCATACAAAGGTAGAAATAAATATAAAATATTAAATTTGGGAAATCATGACCATACAAAGATGGAAATAAATATAACCGTTGGATCAACATAAGCGATCTAACAGTGAGATTGACTGGGTGTCACATGGGTGTAACATAACTTGGGTGTCACAATATCCTATCCCATATTTTAAACGTGGATGATTATCTTTATCATGTCATATTAAATGTCTTTGTGGTTACCACCTTTTGTTTTCTTAAATAATGATGTATTAATCTACATATTATATATATACATGTGTAAGAGCCTCTTCATTAATTCTTACATAAAGAAATATCTTCCTATGAAGATGAGTAAAAAAAAGAATAATGCCCGGAGAACTGTATAGTTGAGACACACTGATTACTCACAATCCTCGTGGATTATGATATTTAACATGGTATCTAGAGTCTAACGAGAGGAATCCTAATCTGCATTTTTTCGGTGGACCTATTATCTGCCTAGTAAAATTCTTCATCGAACATTGTCACGTTCGTTAGTTTCCGACATTACTGTCACCGTCGACCACCTTTAGCCACCTGAAAAAAAAATTTAGCGACCTTTCCGACCAACAAGCACATCAACGGACTCAGAAGGAGCCGATCTACCTAACACCACAAGACCCACCGTCATAGGAGGCTTCACGCGCCACCTTCCTCCGGCGTGCATGGTGTTTTTCGGTGGCCGTTCTCCATCGACCAAGGTCAAAGACGGTCGCTCAGCTGTCCCCTATCCAGATTTGCCTTCACTTCATTCAACAAATATCGTTTGGGTCGCAGCCTTCCCTTCGTTCTTCTTCGATCCGGTGCGGTGGTTCACAGTTCGCATCCCTATTTTCATGGATCAACATCTACATCGATTTGTTAGTGCTTGGTTGCTGTTCGCATCCCTGTACATGTCTTTCTATCCAGATCTGGTGCTTTACATCCTTACTTGCGTGGATCTGTGAGTGCCTCCATTCTTATTGCTGGTAGGATTTCTTCTTTTCCTTCATCACATGTGACCAAATATCAGTGGTGGAGGTGGTTGGATTTGAGATCAGATATCTATCTGTAGTAATTATCTACACTTCCAACGAGTTTTCTGGCAAGTTTTCCGACAAAACCACTACTGCTCACGTGAAGTTTGTTCTGTTTCGGCTTGACCCATGACTGATTCTCGCTCATTTATCCTTCCTCAGGATGTTTCTCAGCTCATGATACTCGGTTCCATTGCCACTATTGTGCATAGGGTAATAATTTTGCTAGTTTCACTCAAAATTCATCCTTTGGTCATTGGATTCTTGATTCCGGTGCCTCTGATCATATTTCTGGTAATAAGTCTTTGTTCCCTTTTCTTTCTACCTTTGGTTACTCTTCTACTGTTACTATGGCTAATAGTTCCTAGGTTCAGTCTCGTGGGATTAGAACAATACACATCTTTTTCTCTCACACTATTGATAATGTGCTTTATGTCCCTAGTTCACCCTTTAATCTCATTTCTATTAGTCGTTTAATAGGTTCTCTTGATTGTCTCATATCTTTCACCAAAAGTTATGTTGTTTTACAGGACCGTAGTTAGGGGAGGACAATTGGCAGCAGATATAAGCCAATGGCCTTTACCTGCTCTCCATATCCTTTTATGCTTACTCTGTATTAGATTCTCCACTTATTATTCACACTCAATTGGGTCATCCTAGTCTTACGAAGCTTAAGAATATGGTACCATGTCGGTCCAAACTGTCTACTTTGCAGTGTGAATCATGTCAATTCGGGAAACATACTCGCAGTTCTTTTCCTGATAGAGTCAATCACCGTGCCTCCTATCCTTTTAGTTTGGTTCACTCTGATGTTTGGGGACCTAGTCGTGCTGAGTCAACTCAGAGGTATATATATATTTTGTTACTGATAAACCTTTAGTTTATTATGATTTTAGGGCTAATATTACATGAATTATATAGTCAAAAGTATGAATTCTTAGGTTTTATAATGAAAAAACATGGAGTTTGAATTATTAACTTATGTGAATGATTTTTGGCTTGTTTTGTAGGAAAATTGAGTTGAATTAGAGCATTTGAGCAATGGTTTAGATTAAAGGATATAAAAAAGATAAATAAGGAGCAACCATTTAGTGAAAATCTCCCAAAATCTATCTTTCGTATCCAAAATGATAAAATTGGATCTCGTGTTCTTCATGAAAGTTATAGATTTATCTTTTATCTTTTCAACGAGACCAATATCTCATTAATCGGACAAGTACAACTCAAGTTATGCTTAAAATACGAAACAATATCGTTATTGTGAAAATAGGGCACTTTAGCGCGTTTAATAGCGCCCTTATCAAGTTTCAAGTCCTGTTTTAGCAAGCTAAAGCGTGCTTTAGCGCCCATTTGCAATGTAGTTATTGTAACGCCTGACCGCTTAAAGAATCAACGACTATCCCCACATACTAACACGAGACTTTTCAGTGTACTTTTTCCTCAACTCGCACACTGAAAACTTCCCAGGAGGTCACCCATCCCAGAATTGCTCCAAGTTAAGCACGCTTAACTGTGAAGTTCTTCCATTCTGAACTACCGAAAAGCAGATGCATCTTGTTAGTATAAGTAGTACCAATTAATTCTTATAAGCTATCCCAAACTGTGCAGTCTCATACCTGCACGATCTTTGGAATCCCTCTCTTTCGGGTGTCGATTCGATTCATTCATGCATGTAACCTCCCGCTGGAAGCCTGTCAGGAGCCGCTCCTTGTCGATGCCCTTTCACACCAGCGATCATTCTCTGCCCTCGTCAGCGCTCGGGATGTTACATGCCCACCAGCTTCCGCCTGGGACATCCTCGAATCACACCGTACTGGAAGAGAGGCCCTGCTCTGATACCACTTGTAACGCCTGGCCGCTTCAAGAATCAATGACTATCCCACATATTAACACAAGACTTTTCAGTGTGCTTTTTCCTCACTCGCACACTTCTTGGGAAAACTTTCCAGGAGGTCACCCATCCTAGAATTGCTCCAAGTCAAGCACGCTTAACTGTGGAGTTCTTCCGTTCTGGGCTACCGAAAAACAGATGCATCTTGTTAGTATAGGTAGTACCAATTAATTCTTATAAGTTATCCAAAACTGTGCAGTCTCATATGTAACACCCCGTGTATACCCGGTTTGTTAACATGTCATCGCATTAAGCCACGCTTAATTAAAAATGCGAAATATCTTTTTCTTTTCAATTATGACGTCATTATCAATTACCAAGTTGATTACTTAATTCTTTTTCAAAACATTTCTTGTATGTAAATTGCAACTAAACAACTAACTGAAATACCTCATTAAATAAATGTGTATCTACTCACGGATCTACAACATGTAGTCTGGAGAATATCCTGGTTCATTATACATAAAAAGTCAGAGTAAACAAAACATAATCAATGTGGCATGGACAATCCCCATGCTCACCAAATGAAGCAACATAGCCAACAGAGTCTCATCTCAATAATCCATAAAATGAAGCTAATAGCATAAAAGCAATAGACATAATCCAGTATCCAAACATAATCAGCATAAGCAGGTAAACATCAATCAACTAAACTCTGGCCTCCTGCCACTCGAGGTCTCAACCCCTGGGTTACCTGAACATGAAATAAGCGCCCCAAACGTGGGGTGAGATCTCTAAACAAAAATCTTAGTAAGGCAAAGGGTCCTTAAGGATTTCTCCACCCCAAGCTCACTTACATGTGCAATATAAGTTCTAAAAGAAG